GACCTGGGGGTGACCTCAAGGCCACATGACCCCAAAGTTGACCCCCACGTGACCTTGGGGGTCACGTGACCTGGAGGGGTCGCGTGACCTCGGGGGGTCACGTGACCTCAGAGGGGTCACGTGACCTGGGGGTCACGTGGGGTCACGTGACCTTGAGATGACCTTGGAAGGGGTCACGTGACCTTGGGGGTCACGTGACCTTGGGGGTCATGTGACCTTGGGGAGGCGACCACGTGACCTCGGGGGTCACGTGACCTCAGAGGGGTCACGTGACTTGGGGGTCACGTGACCTTCAAAGGGTCACGTGGGGTCATCTTGGGGTCACGTGACCTTGAGATGACCTTGGAAGGGGTCACGTGACCTCGAGGGGTCACGTGACCTTCAGGGGGTCACGTGACCTTGAGATGACCCTGGGAGGGGTCACGTGACCTTGGGGGTCACGTGACCTTGGGATGACCTTGGTTACGCCGACGCCGACGGCGACGCCGCTCAAGCCAGGAACGGGCCCCTAAGAGCTGCGCTCTAAAAAAGTGAAAGCCGTTTACAACTTCCTGTAACGCCGAACTAGAGCGCAGCTCTTGAGGAGGAGGAGTGGAGGGTATATTCCTCCTCCTCCCTCGTGATCATGCCTGCTAGTCCTCCTCCCCTCCTGCTCCCCCTCCCTCTCCTTTACCACCTCCTCGTCCTTCAAGCTCCTCCCCTCCCCTCGCCTCCGCCTCCTCGTCTCTCCTCCCCCCCTCCTCCACCTTCGTACTGCTTTCCTCCTCGCCGCTGAAGTCATGTGACCCCCTCCCCCCGAGGTCACGTGACCCCCCCGAACCATACTAGACAATGAGGGGAGGAGGAGGAGGAGGGCAGAGGTCCGGGGGGTCACGTGACATCGAGGGGACGGGATCACATGACCTTGGGCGGGCTGTCACGTGACTTCGGCGGGGGGAGGGGAGTCACCCCCCGGGGTCACGTGACCTTGGCGGGGGAGGAGGAGGAGGGGGAGGGGCGACGCCAACGCCGACGCCGCACAGGCTGGAAACAGGTCATGTGACCCCCTCCCCCCGAGGTCACGTGACCCGCCCGGACCATACTACACAATGAGGGGAGGAGGAGAAGGAGGGGGAGGAAGAGGAGGAGGGGAGGAGGAGGTGGAGGAGGAGAGGGAGGGGCGCGGTTACGCCGACACCGACGGCGACGCCGACGCCGCTCAGGCTGGAAACGGGCCCCTAAGAGCTGCGCTCTAAAACTTAAAAGAGCAGGCTTTTGATAAGCTCATGGTGTTTGAAATAAACCAGGTGATATATGTTAGATGAGCTCTTTGGTAAACTGTGTGTTTGAAATAAACAAGGTGTAATAAGTTAGATGAGCCAGTTTGTCATCCATTTTATTGTAAAGGTAGTGCCTCCTAGCTTCTCGCAAACTTTGTCAATCTACTCCTAGGTTTTCTTAAGTACTAGACTTGGTACACAAGTGCTCGAAAGTGTTTTGAAAAATTATATTTAGGTGCTTCAGAGTGCTACAAAATTCACATTTAGGTGCTCCAAACTGCTCCAAAATGAAAATATTGGTGCTCCAAACTCCTCCAAAATTAATATTGGGGTGCTCCAAAAATTGCTTCAAATCTGGTCTTGGCAGTAGCACCTCTGAGAATGCTGTATTTAACAGTTGACAACTTAGTTATGGGCTCGGTCAGTGATGTATGGAGATGCTTGAAGCTGAAATTGCCAGCACCGAGAGTATAAAGTGATAATTTATCGCTTTTTTTCTCGTACCACAGCTTTAATGTTTTTGTAGAAAGTTAATGGAAATGCTTCTAGCAACAAACTGGAGCAATAGCATAGAGCAGTGGCTCTCAAATGGTGGTCCGCGGACCCCTTCGGGTCCGCAAAGGCATTTTCGGGGTCCGCGAAGCTCTGCCTCATCAAGCAAGCCTGGCAATTAAAGTTGTATTGTTTTCATATTTACATAAAACTTTTTGGGAGAGTTTTCTCGTGTGTATGTCAGTCAGAGAAGTCTAATTTACATTAGCCCTTAGTTTATTCGCTTTTAACTCATTAAACCCACAAAAGGGGTCATCCATCATATACGCCGATCCACAAGGGGTCGGTGAATGGTTGAGAACCACTGGCATAGAGAATAAAAACTCGTAATGCACCTAGGTTGCAGCTTGGTAAAACACTATTCTTGTTCTTTTCCTTTCCCTTTTTTTGAGTTTGGACAACAGCGGAAGTGTGTTCTTTCGGATTACGAAGACGTGCTGGAAATTCTCTTTCTCCCTTTTTGGTGGGACTCGGAACCCGTTGACATCAAAGCAAATATCCAACAGCTATAATTGACGTGCATACATGTACCTTGTCGCCGTCTCCATTGCAAGCTCCTTGTTTGATCATTTGTTTGCATTTTTCCCCATCTGCATGACACTCCCTGTTTAAAGAGAACAAATTAATTTCTCGTCACAAGTTTGCCACATTAAACTTTCATATAAAGTTTCATTAATCCAGTTTATGTTTTTATTTCTGCCATAACGAGAATAAAAAAAAAAGACATCACAAATTCCAGGTTGAAAAAAAACAAACAATTCATGCAGACGCGGCCTCCTTCGCAGACGTGGCCTCCTTTGCAGCCAGCAGCTCTAACCGCTTCCTGATCCTGCGGCCACAGTCCATCAGGTAGTTTGTCATTAGTTCCCCCAAGGCTGCGACCCTCACAACGTCCACCTCGTTGGCCCTTGGGTGCAATGTGACGTACGTTCCCAGCACATTTACCAAGGGAAACAATTACATTAGTCTTCTACAACAAATAATTTCCTTAAAATGAAGCAAGAAAACCAAGAAGACAACTCATTAGGACTAAAGGCACTTAATATCTAGCACAATATCTTGACAAATGTCCACCCAAACTGATAACATGAACAGTAAATATATGAGGCTGACCATCAATTGGGATAAAACTAGATAATTTTATAATTGAAGTGGAAAATACTCGGGCACCGGCTACAAACTACTGGAGACGTGACAAACTTGCTTCCTGCGGGGCTCTTTAAACAGGTAAATTTTAGCGCGAGGGATTTTTTTCGATTCAAGCATAAAATAATTTTTTCTGTGTAAAAGCAGAATTACAATCTTTTTACCAATGGACTTTTGCATCAGCGGTTCGCATACATCTCAGCAACAGCAGTCAATAAAGTCGCAAAAACTTAGTCTGTATGCAGAAGCTAATGAGCCATCCCTTGAAAGTAGGAGGTTTGCTCTGGGGCTTATATATTCTATTCGAGTTCGCTCTGTCCCTCGGCACCCTACCCGTGATAACCTCAGAAACATCAGGTTCCAGAGAACGTTTGAAAATAAACCAGCCGTTGTTCCTCCTTTTGCAATTAGGATTATGAATGCTGGGCCTGTAGAACTAGATCCCAGGGCTCCAGTAATTCAATGCTTAACCACTATAGCCCCGTGGGATTATCATATCATTAATTGTGATCTTACACTGACTAAACATTCCAAAAAATATACACCAAATGAAGTCATAAGGCAGGAATCCTTTCAGCTGCAAAATCAATATGAACAGTACGTAGGTCTGTATACAGATGGAACTAAAACAGATTCGGTGGTTGGCTGTGCTATGATAGGGCCATCTGTGAAACAGATCAAGAGAATCCAAAATGCAGCCACCATACTGACAGCTGAGCTTTCTGGCCTGCTGTGGCGGGTTCGAATCCCGACGGAGGTGACAGAGGCTTATTACGGAAAAGACGCCATGGTAACCGAGCTTTCGGTTGCACGTCAAAAGATCCCCAGGTGGTCGAAATTAATCCTCAGTCCTCCGCTGGGGCGTGCCAGATGCCCGTCGTAGGTTTGGCACGTGAAACCCCAAATTTTTTTCTATGGCCAGCTGTTAGCTGTTGATTATGCAACGAAAAAAAGGTTTCACCACGCAATTGTTTACACAGATTATTCGAGCTCATTAAGAGCACCTAGATCACTAAAGCACATTAGAAATCTACTTGTTCTAGAATTACAAAATAAAGTTATCGCTGTCTCGTACAAGCAGATTGACATAATTTTCTGCTGGGTCCCAAGCCACGTCGGCATCCCAGGTAATGAAAAGGCCGATAGTGCTGCAAATTCTGCAAATGAGAGACATACTGTATTTACTCGCACAACGAACGCATTCACGTAATGAACGCATCCCCCAAGTCGGCTCTCAAATTTTTTTTTTCACTCGCGTAATAAACGCATTCCTAACTCTGACATCAAAATTTTGACCCCCCCTCCCCCCATGCACGCGAAATAAACACACTTTTTTATCCTAGTGCAGCGAGGTCGCGAATGCATGGGCGAACAAAACGCCTTGCGGAAGGCATTAAAAAAAAAAATCCAACGGAAGCAAAAGAAAAAAGACATGGAGAGGAGCTTTTTTTTTGCACACAGTGCAGTCTGGTCCTGGTGTCGCGCGCAAGGAGATAGGAAAGAGAAGCGGAGGAGCCCTCGCCTACGCAAAGCACGCATAATGAAGGCATCCTACTCTCGCCGTCTCCTCGCACTTTGGAAAGAGAAGCGAGAAGCCCTCGATATGAACGCACTTTTCTATCTGGTGCAGCGAGATCGCTAAGGCATGGGCAGCGTGGGCAAACAAACCGGCTTGCGAAAGGCGGCAAACACGGATGCAAGAAAAAAAAAAACACGAAGAGAAGCTTTTTATTTTTTGCGCATTGCAGGTCTTGGGGTTGCGCGCAAAGAGATAAGAAGGAGAAGGGAGAAGCCCTCACCTAAGCAAAGCAAAGCAAAGCGCATAATGAATGCACCCTGCCCTCGCCTCCGCACACCTTCGAGGGCTCTGTTGTAAACAAATAAAAGAAGGGAAGAGAAGAATTAAACCAATCGCAGAGCGTGTGACGGCAGCGGGAAGAAGCGAAAGAAAAAAGTTTTCGCGGGAGTTTTCTATTTCCACCATTTTGCGACGGCGCTGGCGGCATCTTCATCTTCGTGTTCGTGTTGACTGACTACGCAGGGATGATCCGTTACGCCAGCTATACGTGCGGATTCAAACATAAAGTTTTGGAGCACGCCATTGAACATGGCAACCGCGCAGCCGCAAGACATTTTGGCGTCGACGAAGTGCGCGTCCGGTATTGAATGTAGTGGTGCCACAGCTCAATGTGGCACCACTACATCTTTTTAGGTTTGTGGCCAACAAGTCTTCGATGCGGGAGTGTGCTTTGCTCTTCAACATGGCAGACTCAACAGTGTTGGCCGTGATAGACAGGGTGCTGGACTTTCTCTGCAGCATTGCTCCAGACATAATATGCTTTGCTGCTGACAAAGGTGCCCTGGCCAACGACTTCAAAAAAGTAAGCTTACTCGTACACCATTGCATCTTATAGGGGGCGAATGCATTGGCTGTAGGTGACAAGCGTATGTTGGCATTCTGAATGATGCCTACATCTTTTGTTCCAAACGGCTTGTGCTAGTGAGTGTTCAAAATACAGCCGGCCGAGCGTGCTATGTGTCATGGAGTCCCAGGGCAATTGTAATTTGTAACTTCACCAGAAGGGGCGAAGCTATGGGGGGCTGGCGTCTTGAGCTTCGCCACTTGGTGGCATGAACACTTTGGAACCTCAACATGCCTGAGGACTGGTTAGGCAACATCGACGAAGGCAATGGACTTGTCCTGCTCTTTTCTATCTCACCCTGTCTTTACGCAGGGGTTGAATAGGTGCGGAAAAGAGGTGAAACTTGAGCATTCAGTTTGGCCAGATTTGACAGGAGTGTGCGCGCGTAGCTTCTTACTGTATTTAGGATGAGCAGTGCTGCTTTTGCGTGGTTCGACTCAACGACGTCCAAAGTAGCTTTGGGAACATCTCCCAGCTGCAATCTGGTAGTCAGTTTATTCGTTTTAGGTGAAGCTTTTAAGACCCTCTGAACAAAAAATGGGTGTCAGTGGTATTGCTGCCACAGCAAGCAACACATAAAACTATAGAATAAGTGCTAAAATATTGTTTATGTACTTTATGTAGAGCTTTAACAGCCTTTCTTCTTTTTTCCAGCGTGCAGGCTTCCCCAACGTGATTGGATGCGTCGACGGCACTTACATACCCACACGATGTCCAAATAACAAGACAAGATCAACCTACATAAACAGGCATGATCAAGTCTCCATCACAATGCAAGGGATATGCAACGCGAAGGGGAGGTTTCAGGATGTACTTACAGGACCACCCAACAAAGTGCATGATGCTCGTGTCCTCAGGCTGTCGGTCGTGCAGCAGGATTTGACCGCCATTTGTGCAGTTAACAAATACCACCTATTAGGAGATGCAGCTTACCCCATCAGAGAGCACTTGCTGACACCCTTCAAAAATTATGGAACCATGACGAAAGCTAAAGTCGAATACAACCAAAGACATGCTTCAACAAGGGTGGTGATCGAAAATATTTTCGGTATGTTGAAGCAGAGGTTTCGGCAGCTGCGGTATGTGGAATTCACGACAGTCGACAAGATTACCCGGCTCATCATAGGGTGCTGTGTCTTACACAACATTTGCATGGATGCTGGTGACATGAGTGTTAAAGACATCCTGACTGGTGAAGAGAGAAGAGAACGAAGGGAAGACATTGCCCTTCATGCCAGGAAAAGTCGAGCGGAGCTGGAGGTAGTTCGGCAGCCAAAGACTGCACGTGACAACGTACTCCGCCAGCTCGGCGAAACAAAGAGGAACACCATAGCACAGCTGTTCTGAGGTGTTGCACAGTTTCAAAAAGAAGCTGCCCGACAGCCATGCAAACGGACATCAACGCAGGACAGTGTTTCTGGGTTTACCATGATTTATTGCACATTTCCATAATTTATCGTAATAAACAGTTATGATGTACCTTATTTAGGCAACCTATTGCTTGTTAGCGAGGTCTCTCACGGTCTGCATCTGCGCCTTGTGCGCCTACAGCAGCTCTTGGTGCCGCTCCTCTTTTCGTTTCTCGCATTCTTCTTTTTTACGTTCTTTCGCATCATTCAGTGCTTTCATTTGCTCGAAAAAGAACACCATGTGCTGCATGCGGCCGTTGCTTGGTCAAATTCCTCTGTCCGCTTTCCGCTTCTTGCATCGGCTTTCCCCTCTTGGGGCTCTTGTTGATGCGTCGTCTTGTTCACTGCCTTCGGAATTGTCGATGTTGCCGTCTTGTGCAGCGCTAGAAGGTCCTGCTGTGGACCTATCCAGTGTCGAGTCTTTGTAGGTCACTTGGCCGACGCTTCGTAACACTTCATGCTCAAGGCTGTCGTCAATGGCCCTAATGGCATTGAACTCTTCCTCATATGACGTTTGGCAGTGGAGTTGCCCGACGTTCTGTTGTGGTTGTCCTCGCTGCGTTTACGTTTTGCTAGCGTCTTGAACCGGGTTTCACATTGGACGCCTGTGCGTGTGATCTGCAACACTTCGAAAATATCTTTGGCAATCTGCTCATACATCGCTCTTTTACTCCTGAACCTTTTCATAGGTCCAACCTGTCTTGAGTATTGGAAGTAGCTGTTGAGGAGCAACTTCGTCTCTCCTTGGCCCCATGGTGCTGTTCAAGAGAGAAGAAATCAAAGGAGGTGGAAATAGTTAATACAGTTCCCTAACATTTTGTGTGAGTTTTCATTGAAGCACTTGAGACCTATATCGTCAACCAGATTAGCAGCTTGGCGTGTCTAGTCTGCAGCCATTATTGCAGTGCAATGACTAGAAAATTGGTCAAGCCCTGTATAGGAGGTATTCATTTTCATCTGCATGAGCTGTAGGTAAAGGAACTTATGGTCAATCAAGAAAGACAGTTTTGACGGTGCAAAAGGTACTTGGTGAGAGCTGGCAGTGCGCACGCGCTCAACAGCGGTGCGCACAACAATGGTGGCCGGTGAATACTCTCAATATGATGTAACAATTTAGGTTTTAACACGCTCAGCGTGGCTTCCAGGGTCGGTGCATACCGTGATCTATAAGGCAACCCCAACAGTTTGAAGTGCCAACTGAGGTATGTGAAATACGCAAAGAGCAGAATAATCACAGCAAGAAGTTGGCGTCTCATTGGTATGTCCAGGCTGCCATGTTGAAAACATTCGTTCGAGAAAACACTGGGTTCGTAATATCATGACATCACAAAAACATGTGGACCCGATTGGCTGGTGGAGGAATACCCGTTCCTTTACAAAAGACATTTGCCGGTATTTTTTCTTCAATTGTTATCAACTATAGATTAAAAAAAAAGGTTTGATTGTTTTGCGAGAGGAATTCTTGTTCAGAGCCTAATTATCTTCAAATGCGTAGTGTTCACGTACCATTTGATTGCGGAATCCTATTTTCATCTTGGATTTCTGCTGTGCTGCTTCCCTGTGTGTGTTTGACTAGAAATCTGACGGGAAGCTCTATAATGTATACAAGCGAACGTGCCAGAGCTTCAAAGCGCGTAGTGAGAGTCAGGAGGGCCACACTACCAAATCCTGAGGCTGGGATTTCTAGTTTTCTCTTTCTGACCACATGCTCTCCTGTCTAGATGGAGCGCAAAATTGAAGCTGTGAGTGCAATGGGAGGCGAACAGAAACACGCATACTGCTCGCACTGCACGCAGAACCTCGGCTTCGCATTGCGCGGCACTGCGGAAATAATGGGATCGGAAAAAAGCCAGCAAAATCACGTCTTCGAAATGAATCAAAGCACCATCGGAGAAAACAGCGCGCAACAACGAAAGACAAGCGATTGAATTTTACCGCACTTTATTTCACTGGCGGTATAACTCGCCGGAAATCATTGAGTACAAAAGGGACCCGACGCTTGACGGGAGATTTCCGCTAGGAAAAGGAACGTTCACGTCGTCTACATTGAAGGCTGGCATCTTTCCTGCCGTCAGGCGAACCGGCCGGAACCGGAGACCGGAACCGGAGACCGGAACCGGTCTCCGGTTCCGGTCGCTCCGGAAAGTTGTCGCGCGTTCGGCTGGCGCGCGGTTTGCGGAGCTCTGACTTAGAGGCGCTCCTAGATCTCGCAGATCCGATTCAGAGGATGGGAGCGCTCGAAATCTACCAGGCGAATATACCATAAGCTTGACACAACATAGCCTTAGATGCTGATGCGCCATAAACCCCCAGTCAATCAATCAATCAATCAATCAGGCCAGCCCTGTAGTTGTAGCGCTGCTTTCAAGCAGTCCGGTGTAGCTTTCAGGGTACAAGTGTTTTCTGGCTACTGCAGAGGTCTTCGAACACCACAGCTTACGGAACAAGTACTTGCTCCGTGGTGGAACGTGAGCCGTCGCTCCATACTGCACGTCGACGAACTCTAGGAAATGCTCAGTGTCCAGGTCACCCTGTGGCACTTACTATAGACATCGACACAGCGACGGCAGCCGTTTTAGTTGTAGTAGAGTGCGGCAGAATGGCGCTGCCAAACTCCGCAAGGCATCGTTGAAGGAGATTATCGTCCTTGAGCAAGAAAGCAGAACGGGCGCCTTCTTCCGCATCCCCACTCTTTGCCTATGTGCTCCCGTCAGTGTCACTGACATCATCTACATCCGAAGGCTATTCGTCGGGGTGGCTGGTAAAATCGGCTACCCAGCTTGGTTTTTCAAGCTCTTCGTCAGAAGGCGAACTGCACGATGACCTCCTACTGGAGCTACCCAAGGAGCTATCTGGGGAAGCAGGAGGCTCGTCGCTCTGTCCGGGACACGCGGGTTGCTGTGGTGGTTCGCTAACCGCCTGTCAATTCTACAGCGAATTTTGCAACACAGTCTTCCGCTTGTTTTTGTCATGCGGACCTTGCATCTACCGAGGAAGTATGAGGTCTTCCTCCCCCGCAGGGGGCACCTGTGAAAGCAGGTGTTTGGAGGGTGGCGTCTCCACGGACCCCGAGCCATGCGGGTTCGCCCGCCCACGTATGGCTGTGCGTGGCTTTCCCGTGTCCGGGGAAAAGGGCATCCTGGTGGTTGAGCCGAGCCCGGGGTAGGTTTGGACCCTTCGGGGCCCCCCGGGTGAGGCAATACACCACTTCGGCCCCTGCTTCTCGTAGACGGGAGTCCTGGTAAGGCCCGGCCAGGATGATTCAGTCTAGTCGCCACTTCTACTATCCCCTCTCTACTTTCACCCTTGTCTTCTCCTCCTTTTCACTCTTCTCATTTCTCTTCTTTCCTTTTCAACTCCTTTGGCGGCAAGGGCTAACCTTGGGTGGCGACAGACACCTTGTCCAAAACCACTCTTGGTTATAGAGACTGGGCAGCACTAATAGCGTAACGTCTTCAGCCAAGCCATTCTTGTTATGGAGCGTTACCTATTCCCTTGTTGGGCTCGGTGGTGGGCGGTGCACCACAGTTTCCGAAAACCCTCCCCCTTCATATGGGTTCCAAACTTAAACCTTTTGATCGGCCCCCCAAAAGGGGCCGCACCGAAGCACTGAACACGAAACAATCTTTTGTACTGGAAAAATTCCCGAAGTTCCTTGTTATGCACTCGGAAGGTGACAAGCCACTTGGCAAACTTTCTCCCTTTCTAGTCTCCAAAGTTCTTGAGGGTGTTATTGGCGCCAATTACAATGCAAAGAAGATGGGATCTGATGATCTCCTTGTCGAGGTCAACACAAAGCAGCAAAGTGATGCCCTCCTTAAACTGAACCTTGTCTCTGACTACAAAGTAAGCGTAAGTCCTCACCGCAAACTGAACAGTGTTCAAGGGGTCATTTCTGAGGATGACTTGCTTGACTCACCTGAGCCAGAGATAATTGAGGGCCTCTCTAGTCAAGGAGTTATAGATGCACGACGAATCACTATCCGCCGTGATGGTGTGGAACGGAAGACAAAACATATAATTTTGACTTTCGATTCAACCACTCTGCCGCAGACTGTAAAGGCAGGTTACCTTCAATGCCGGGTCCGACCTTATGTGCCGAACCCTCAACGGTGCTTTAAGTGCCAGAGGTTCGGCCATGGGTCACGGAACTGTCGGGGAAGGGACACCTGTGCAAAGTGCTCCAGCAAGGAACACGTTGCAGATGTGTGCGATAATGAGCCTCATTGTGCGAACTGTAGTGGCAACCACCCGGCATACTCTCGATCTTGCCCTGTGTGGAAAGACGAGAAAGAAGTTCTTACATTAAAAGTTACCGAAAACATTACCTACACTGAGGCAAAGAAGCGTTTTGCTTTTGTATCGAAGGGCTCTTATGCCGAGGCCGTGCGCAGGGGACCAGCGCGGCCAGTAGTTTCGATGGGAACGCAGACGTCTCCGGACGACCTGCATCTCCTGTCACGGTCCCCCTCTAAACCCCCGAGAGCGGCGCCAGTGGCACCGCCTCCGAACCGCAAGGTGAATGCTGCTTTGCCAGCATCCGCCCCAGAACAGGAGATGTCGTCTCCTGCTCAACCGGCTGCTTCGACCTCTCGGGGTCGGGGCCTACCTCCCCACACCTCTGCTCCTCAGAGGAAGCCTGGGGAGGTGCCAAAGCAGTCGACCTCCAAGGGCCAGCTGCCAGCAACTGCAGACGAGCCCATGGACGAGGGTGGGTCGAGATCTGATGAGGAGGCTCTCCTCTCAAGATCAGAGTCCACCCCCTCTGCCTCCGGTGACTCTAACCGGAGGCAGAATAACCCCCCTAAAAAACAAAGTGCGCCGCGTGTAAAAATTGATTTTAAACCGTAAGAAATATAGCTTTTTGATATAATTTGTATGTTATACTTGTTTTGTTTTAAATGGTTAAAAATATAGGTATAATGCAGTGGAACTGCCGCGGTCTTTTTCGAAATATTGATGATGTCAACTTTTTTCTCGATGAGCTCCAGCCCGTTGCCATCTGTTTACAGGAGACTCATCTTAATGAAACACATACACAGGTACTACGGCGACATCAGGTTTTTAGAAAGGACCGTGTTTCTTGCAACAGCTCTTCTGGTGGAGTAGCTGTGGTTGTGCAGAGTGGTATTGCCTGTGCGCCTGTCCCTCTCGCAACCCCCTTAGAGGCAGTAGCAGTTCGTGTTCTGCTTGACCGCCTAATTACTATTGTTTCGCTTTACCTTCCACCAAACTTTCCAGTGCATTTACATGACCTGCAAGGGCTTGTGGGCCAACTGCCACAGCCTTTTTTAATCTTAGGAGATTTTAATGCACACCACCCCATGTGGGGCAGTGCTCGTCAAGACTCTCGTGGCGGTGTCATAGAACGTTTTTTACTGTCATCTGGCCTTTGCCTTTTAAACAAGAGACAACCAACTTTTTTTAGTGCACCTCATAATACTTTTACTTCCATTGATCTTTCCATATCATCACCTGCTTTACTTCCTTGTTTTTCTTGGAAGGTTTTAGAAAATCCCTTTGGTAGTGACCATTTTCCTGTAATTTTAGAAAGTTCAGTATCCCTTCCTTCTCTTCGAGCTTGTGCTCCCAAGTGGAAATTAGATAAAGCCGACTGGGCTTTATTTTCTCTGGAGGCAGCCGTCGATCCCGCTGTTTTTTTAGCTATGTCTCCTGAGGAAGCGACTCTTTACCTTACTGAAAAAATTATAAATGCAGCTTCTCTGTCAGTTCCTCGAACTTCTGGAAATATTCCCAAGAAATGCAAGCCTTGGTGGAACAAGGACTGTACGACCACCATAAAAGCTCAGAATAAGGCTTGGGGAAGGTTTCGGCGGTACCCGACTGTTCAGAACAAGATTAAATTCAAACAGTGCAAAGCAAAAGCTCGTTGGACACGAAAACAAGCCAAGAGGACCTCATGGGTAAAATATGTATCCTCTCTGAACAGTTTTGTTCCTGCAAAAGAGGTATGGGATCGTGTTCGGAAAATTCGGGGTACTTACCACTCCTTCAGTATTCCCCTTTTTCCTTCATCATCCCCATCACTAAAAGATCAGGCTAACATTCTTGCTGATCATTTTCGAGAGGTCTCCAGTTCTTCAAATTACAGTACTAAATTTAAAAAGTTCAGGTTTTCTGCAGAAAAACAGCCAATTGATTTCTCTGGAAGTGATACTGGTTACAACCGGCCGTTCACAATGTATGAACTTGAAATAGCCCTTGCAGTAAGGAAGCAGTCAGCACCTGGCCCAGATATGATTCATTATGAACTGCTGAGGCACTTGTCGGCTGAATCTTTGATGAATTTGTTGTCTTTCTTTAATCATTTATGGGCAGCTTCTTGTTTTCCACAGTGCTGGAAGCAAGCACACATCATTCCCATCTTGAAGCCTGGGAAAGACCCTTCCCTACCAGCAAGTTATCGGCCTATCGCTTTGACTAGTTGTCTAGGAAAAACTTATGAACGGCTTATAAACAGAAGGCTAGTATACATTCTAGAACAAAAGAAAATTTTCGATAAAAACCAGTGTGGTTTTAGAAGAGGTCGCTCAACCTTGG